TGTTTAGGTTTTATGTCTGTCTTTGAATTTTGACTTATAAAGTGATTTTATTCATTTTTAGTTTAGTCGAACTGATGATGGAGCTGGACTCCGAAACGTTTTCAATATCGATATGGTGAATTTTCTTGGCGTTTTCTTTGCCTTTAAATTCCATGTGAACTTTCGATATAAGCAGACTAATGATATAAGTAACCTGACACAATGTTAGCACCGTAAAAATGTCATCAGAATCTGCTGAAGAAAAAAAATAATGGAAAAAGAACATTTATTAAACTTGTCATTAGAAAAAAGTTGATGGCACACTTAAAACTTGAATTTCATTTATTTAGCTTTTTAGGCAAAGATTTTCAACATGTAATTCTAATTTCATGTTCAAAATAATGAATGGTAATACATAAAAATTTTATAAAAGTGAAAAGGTGTAAAAGTATAAAATAAGAGCCATGAAATGCATTAAATAAGGCGGTATAAGAGGTATAAAAGGCAACTTAATCAAGGTATTGGCTGGCTGGTGCAGGCATTGACCTTTACTGCTCCTAGCCACTGACCTCTGGCCGTTCTGGCCATTATGGCCATTTTGGCCGTTTTGGCCGTCACGGCGGCCATGGCCGTGATGGCCGTTGCGTGACGCCCGGCCAAAAAAGACGCCATTATTCCAGACGTAAATAACGTTTTTCCAGCCGCTGCTCGGGACGTCACAGGCCGCAGAATTGCTGCAGGGAAATGCCGCCCCATTGATTTAGGACGTGGCGACCTGCATGTCCATATATAGTGCAGGTTATACTTAACTATCGGGAGAATATATATATTTAACCCACAACATGTAGAATATAACCCACCACATACAGAATCGGCTATGCCCCACTTGATTTCTTTAATGTTAAGACATTCAACATGATGTTTATTTTGTTGAGTGAAGTCCAAAGATCAATAATTACGGTAAGACAATTGTAAGGGATAGTAACTTTAAAGTAATATTATTTATTTCTCGAAGTATTAAATTGGAGTTTTAGTAGCGAAGAGATTGATTTTGTTCTGCCGGGAGACAACGAACCGCGAATACTAAGTGACAACGAATACTAAGTGTAAATCTTAATGTTTGGTGCATTTTATTGTTCGCGAGTTAAGTACATGAATTTTAATGTGAATAAGGAATTATATGACGTCTAATGAAGGTCTAATATTTTTTCGGGTGTTGTATTAATAAAAATGGCTACCTAGCATAGAGATTGTAAATACTATTTGTGTCAAGTTAGCGGTATTTTTAAGTGAAATGTGCCCATTACACTTGTTGGGGGGCAATATGTAAGGGATAGTAACTTTAAGGTAATATTGTTTATTTGTCGAAATATTAAATTGTCATTTTAGTTTAGAATGAACCGGAGGAAATATGCGGAATGTTAGGGTGAAATGGTTATTGTGCTGTGGAAAGCCGGAGCGGAGGTATGTGTGAGAATAGGATCCGATGTAGATATGTAAATAATGATGCTGCTGTTAAAGGTCATCAAACGGGCCATTTGCTGCTATTTGAGGCCTCAGAAGGGCCACGTTCTGCTATTTGAGGCCCCAAAAGAGCCATTTTCTGCTATTTGAGGCCTCAAAAGGGCCATGTGCTGCTATTTGAGGCCTCAAAAGGGCAACTTGCTGCTATTTGAGGCCACAAAAGAGCCATGTGCTGCTATTTGAGGCCTCAAAAGAGCCATAAGCTGCTATTTGAGGCCCCAAAAGAGCCGTGTCGGCTATTTGAGGCCCAAAAGAGCCATGTGCTGCTATTTGAGGCCCTAAAAGAGCCATGTCCTGTTATTTGAGGCCTCAAAAGGGCCACGTGCTGCTATTTGAGGCCTCAAAAGGGCCACGTGCTGCTATTTGAGGCCCCAAAAGAGCCATGTGCTGCTAGTTTAAGCCCCTAAAATCCATGCGCTGCTATTTTAAGCCCCAAATGAGCCATGTGCTGCTATTTTAAGCCCCAAATGAGCCAGCCATGCGCTGCTATTTTAAGCCCCAAATGAGCCATGTGCTGCTATTTTAAAACCCAAATGAGCCATGTGCTGCTATTTTAAGCCTCAAATGAGCCATGTGCTGCTATTTTAAAATATTTCTCGTCACAGATTGGTGGGTTTGGATTGAAAAACTGCCGCTGATTGGCTGACTGAGTTACGAACTCCGGCCCATGAGCTCTAATTTGACTTTAACCTATTTAGCGCTATATATTATGAGCTATAATCAATTAGGAAGGATAATCGATTAAAACGAATAATGAACTTAACGCTATTATAAACATATTCCTCTTTAGAACGCTCGGTTTTATTTCTTGTGTGACTTGAATGAGGGCCTTTATGAATTATCTTATATTAAGAGCACGACCTTTAGCCGGGCCAAACTGAATCAGAATGACTCACATATGAGCTTGAATTTCATCGCCATTTGTACAATGTCTCTACCATTCCTCTGAGTGTAAGCGGACCCAATAATAAATCTGTGTTGAGGTCTTGGCCTGGTAATTGCTTATGTTTTATTCTACTAGTAATATATTATCCTGATATATGTTATATTCAACTAATAATACATATATTGCACTAATATATAAATGACCTTGAGTGGATCATGCTGACCTTCTGAAACTTCCCAGACTGAGAAATAATCTACAAAATCTATTTATTGATTTATTATTCATTTATTCCCCTTTCTCGTCATTCCTAAAACCAATTCCGTATAAAATTGTGATCGAAATGCGACCCAACACATATGCGACCCGCTTGTTAACAGTAAACACTTTAAAACAGTAGAACTAAACACTAAAATTAACAGTTTATATTATTAAGAAGAAGGTAGAGCTCAGCCTTGCGTAAGTTCTCCTGCACTAACAATACTCACATACACGCATGACCTCCTCACTCTAATTTATACACCGTTAATTTGTCCCACCGTCAGTCCGTGCATACAATTAATGCTGTCATGTCTCCGCCACTAAATGAGTGCCCCGCACAAAGTCGCTTTGTCCGCGCCAAGGAAAACCTGCCGCCACATTACAACCTCCGCTGGTCCCGCTGGTCCCGATGTGGCGGGACAAATATGCTACATTCATAACCTACGGTCCCGCTGGTCCCGATGTGGCGGGACATATATGTTACATTCATAACCTACGGTCCCGCTGGTCCCGATGTGGCGTACATTCATAACCTACGGTCCCGCTGGTCCCGATGTGGCGGGACAAATATATTACATTCATAACCTACGGTCCCGCTGGTCCCGATGTGGCGCGACAAATATGCTACATTCATAACCTACGGTCCCGCTGGTCCCGATGTGGCGGGACAAATATGTTACATCCGTAACCTACGGTCCCGCTGGTCCCAATGTGGCGGGACAAATATATTACATTCATAACCTACGGTCCCGCTGTTCCCGATGTGGCGGGACATATATGTTACATCCGTAACCTACGGTCCCGCTGGTCCCGATGTGGCGGGACAAATATGTTACATTCATAGTCTACCGAGGTCCCTGCCCGCAGTCCCTACTTTAACGGATGCAAAAAAATTCTTAGGAGAATTTCATAGCCAGACAATATATTTGAATAACAGATAGAGTTCTGAGACATGGCACAGTTGCAAGGAATATAACATAACATAACATAACATAGTGATCTCGGAGCTGAAGTGTAGGCCTGATGTGGCCTGTCGCCGATGTTATAGCAGCAATACTTCACAGAAGATCTAAAATCGTGTTATTTAACCGGGTCTTTTCATGACGGACGATAGTTTGAAATTAGTTGATTAGATAGTTTGAAATATAGCTACATTAATAATCGAAGGGAACAAATATTAGCCTGGTTGACTTAAATTGAAGGACATTCATACGAATGATGAATTAGGCAAAGGTCGGGCCTCGGATTCGCAACCTCTTGCTTCCCAAGACAGCAGGCAACGCACACTTGTTCTCTTCAGTCCTGGGGCCATACTATCAAAACTCGCTAAGTGAACGTAAGTACACACGCAAT